CATGTTTGACATTAATTTCCTAAAATGTCATTGGACTGGAAGTCACACACAGAGATTATCAACAGTGAGTGGGTGAATAAATAGACAGTGCTTCTAAACTGTATTGGAGTTAAATATAGTTTTCTTCTAGTTTTTTTTCGCATTTTTCCTGCTTCATGGTTTCTTGTTTGTAATTTTTAAACTAGAACACTGGCTCTCAACTGGTGGGTCACAGGTCTGATGTTAAAGTGTTACTGGCAGTAGTAAAAAAAAAATATTTTGAAATATTTAGCATAGTTTGGATGGTAAAATAACTTGACAAATAGTCAATTGCCAATATGGACTGGTTTGAGAATATATATTACACAAACACACACACACAGCCACACATCAAACCATCAGATAAAATTTAGACATTAGATAAAATTTGATATTTTTTTTACTAGTGGGTGCCAGACACTAGTTAATTTATGTAAGTGAGGATAGCAAAACTGTGACATGTCATACCCCAAAATTCTTCATACAGTGGACTACCAGTAAAGTGTATAACAATTTGGGATGAACTGAACAAATTTAAGCATTACTTGGTAATTTGTTGACCTAAATAAATTGATATTGTCTAATTGTGTATTTAGGTTGAATAGCTGTCAGCTTTCTGCTGTTAAATTTAATTCATTTATGAGACTGTAACTGAAGGATGGCCAAAGCCATGCAGTGAAATATCAACTGATTTCATAACTCTTGAGTTCTTGTCAGTCATCTTGTATTACCATTTTCTAAACTATAGTGAATAAACTGTTATAACTTTAGAAATGTTGAAGGTGTCTGAATAAATTTACAGTATCTTTGACTTTATATATTAAAATATGTAATTGGCCACTGAGACATTTAAAAACCAAAATTGTCAGCCTTATGTCATGCCATGTCATGTTAATAATTTTGCATATTATTGGGCTTATAACTTTTTATTTACATTTTAACGGTACACGCCTTTGGTGTTGTGTTGGGTGACTTGTTGAACCATATAGATAAATTTGAGTAAATACAGAACTAATATAAAATGCTCTTGAATAAGAATTAGCTAAAAACTTAACTACACTGTAAAAAACTGAGTAAAATTTACTTATTTTTTTAAGGCAACTTTTTTTAGTAATTTTTTTTTAGTAAATTTCATACATAGAATTAAGTAAATTATACTTTAAGTGAAAGTAACATAAGAAATTAAGTCATTTTTATTTAGCTATTTAATTGAATTTTTCTTTGTACAACATTTCACTCAAACAATATAACATTAAATTAGACCACACTTTTTAAAGGGTAATTCCACCGGTGGGTACATGTATTGAAAATGGGTCATATATGTTGTAGACCAGTATCATAAATTTCTAATTTGGGTCCTTCTTGGTCGATAAAAGGCAGAAAATGACTTTTTAGTGCTTGTGGATTGTAGACAACAATCCTTTTTTCATGTAAATTACATTGTTTTTTTTCTGTAGTATTTAATTCACCACAAAATCATTTTTATTAGTGTATAAATGCACACCTGCACTGAAAAAAAAGTAAAAATTACTTTAAAAATATGCGTGCAAAAACTTGCTAAATAAAAATTAAGGAAATTTCACATGAAATTAGTAAGTTTAGTGAAAGTAACAAAGAAAATAAATAATTTTAACTTTGCTAGTAAAAGGTTGAATATCTATTTAGATGAAGTATATATATATATATATATATAAAGACGCATGTATATTTATAAAATATATTATTTATATATAAAATATTTATATTTATTTATAATATAAATTATATATAAATCTATACAGTATATACATGAAAATATTTCTTAAATATATACAAGCATGTGTGTGTACTGTGTATATATATATATAATTATACATAGTGCACCCACATATATTATGTAAACACAAACTTTTATTTTGGATGCGATTAATCGTTTGACGGCACCGTATCTGCTTATCAGAGAATACACTTCATGTAAATGCAGAGAGCTCAATACTTAGTAGACCATGCACAATGACGGTAACATTTGATGGATAGTTTGTGATTGAATGTGTCATTTTGAGTATAAAATGAATTCTAAATGTCACAAAATAGCTATTTATTAATCCTAACAACAAAAGCAATGATAAAACTGTGTTAATACAGCTGGAAAACAGTGAAAAATCACCTTCATTAATTATTCAAGGCCCAGTGCATGATGGGAACACCAGTATCAGAAAAGTTAATTTTTTAACGTTTATATTTACGCTTAAACTTCTACACACTTGAATTGAGTACTAATATAGAATTTACTTTTTTTTTTTTTTTTAATTCTTGCCTGAACTAACTTTTTCATGTAGAAAATGTTTCATGTTTTCATTGCTTCATCACAAAATCATACGCCATTTGAATTCTGTGTTCGTGACGCTGGTCGGCAACTGCTTTGCATTGTGCCGGACAACATAATGACTAATTCTTTCTGGTTTTGACTTGTTCAGGACATGTCCTGTGCTGTTATTTCTCATTACATTTACATTCTGATAACTGTCCAAAAATAGATATAACATCAGGTGCTGCTACTCATCCTAGGAGACCAGAATGAAAAACAGACAAGCAAACATGCATGCAAAAAACATTTTGCATATGCATAGTCCTATTTGTAATTAGGGGTGGGCGATATAGCCTAAAAATTATATCACGATATTTCAAGAATATTTGCGATAATGATACTTATCACGATATAGAAAAAATATATATGAAACAATGTTTTATTGGTGATTGCAGCTGGCTGGCAGCAGCATTAGTGCAAAAAAAAAAAAAGTATAACATAACTCCATATCATTTTATTTTAACAATAACTACAGTAATACATTAACAATATTAACAATAACTTCAGAAGCCTGCACAATATTGTCACCTAATAAAATTTACCTAAACTTTGAAGTACAAAAATAATAGTCTAATAGTCTGCCTGCATAGTTTTTGGATTAGCATCAAATGAGGTATACAATACCTAATTTATACAATAATTGTATAAAATTGGAACATTTAGGGAAAAAAACATTTAGTGGGGAATAAATAAGAGACAATTGTAACACTAAATCTGGTAAAACTTTACACATTGCTCTTTGTATTGTACATTCATGAAAAAAAAACAAGGTAACAAATCAAAAGGATTAATTATTATATAGCATAGTCTACTATAAAATTGAGGCATGTTTAAAATGTATAGCACAGCTGTTTAATGAGGCAGCAACATATGATCGATAGGACAGAACAAAGGCTATTAATAATCTTTTATTGCGCAAAAGTATTATGATATGAAAGGCTCCAATATATCGCACAGCGCTTATGCGCATCCCGAGCGCTGAATGATGCGCTTGAAGCAACACGGAGTCACAGCGCGCACGCGCAGCGCGTCGAATACTCCGCACTGAACAGTTCAAAGCACAAAGTAAATAAATATTGATGCGTAGCGTCGTGTATAATATACAGCATCTAGCTGTGCAATCGTTTATCGAGTCCTTTCTTTTAACAGTTTTACATTTCAGTTACTGTGCGCGTGATGAACAACAGTGCTCTGACTCTAGTGTTTTGCTCTAGTCTAACAGACACCCGGCCGGTAGAAAGTAACATGATGATTTAACGTTACAGCAATAAAGTCCAGCAAGATAAAGTTGTGTTATGCGAAACCATAGACCTTTTATTTACAAATATAATAATAGTAACATTGAATCATCTTAGAAAGAGTTTAATCGTGTTGACTGTTGTACCCGAACTGCGGAAACTCTGAAGGAAGATTAGGCGAATGCAAAATGTACGCTAGTAGGGAAGTGGTGAAACGAGTTTTCATGCATATTTGACAAAAAAATAAATAAATAATTGTGTTGTTGGAGATCTGACCTCTTGTACTCAAACAACTTCCATATTATTGAAGTAGCGCCCTTTTTAGGAACTAAATCTTGATCTGATCCGGAGGCTTACATGCTGCTGTGTTGTTGTGCACGCGCTAAGTAACGTAAATACGCCATACGTCATCATATCATCAATATCGCGATATGACAATTTTTTATCATGTAAAATTTTATACCGGTATTATCGTGGACGGTATGATATGGCACAGCCCTATTTGTAATTGCTGTTGACTAGTTGCTATGTTTTCTACGGTGGATTTTGTGCACATTAGAAATTAACCACATTAAGCACATTAACCATCAGCTGGTGGTAGACCAACCAGTTAGTGGTATATTGGGGTTGGTTTTAGAAATGAAGAAAATTCTTGACAGTAATTCAACAGTAAATGCATTGTCTGTTCACTTTTACAATCCAGCTGGAGTTAAACCGTTTGTAAAGGGCTTGTGAATAGATCTGTCTGTGTTTAGTCTGGTGATGTGAGGCAAGGAGAGATTCAGTTCATTGTTTACACAGTAAACGTAATGTTAATTATTAATAAGAGACTTCACCTCCTGGGGACGCTTGCAGCTTACACTTTCTCTCTGACCGTAAGTGCACTAAGTTGGAGCAAATGTACTGAACACCTGGATTTCAGCAAGTCATAAGTGCCCTTAAGTTTTTTTTTTTTGTTTTTTTTTTGCCCTGCAGGGCATATTTTAACAAGAAATTGTAAATTTACTGAACTTCATCTTCCCTGACGTTGCCTTTGTTTTTCAAATTTTCCTTATTGCATAATAGAATTGAGAATGTTGTAGTCAATCTACTCTGTATGCTTTTCTGCATGGTTAAATAAAACCTGTTGCTCGCCTTTTTTGCCAAATAATTTTGTTGGATACATTTATGAAAAGGAACATATAACACCTTCAGTCACTCAAAGAGGAAACTGACATTTTTCTCTCTACTGATAAATTCAAGCAATGCCAACAAATACTTGCCCAGGTCAGACCACCTGAACAAATCCTTGTGTGTGAACAGACCATGTTTACTCTTGCTGTTTCAGGCTCTGATGTTCCATTTAGCCATTATTACAGCAGCAGCAGCAAAACATGTCTGTTCTTCTTTCTCCTCAGATATGGATATTTCCTTGCCAGATCATCCTTGTCTCTGTGATTTGCTCTGCCAGTTTGTCGGGATGGGCTAAAAAAAACCAATTGAAGCTGAGCACCATACCCCTGGACACCTCCAGCGTCTCACCTGTGCACAGGTAAACATGTACACACTTTGGCCCAAAGTAATTTCTCTTGAGAAACAATCTTTTTGATTGTATCAATTGATTTCATCATGGTTTTTCACTTGTCCACTGCTGATACTTTGAGAGCAAAGTGACTGATGTTGATATTTATATAACTGAATTTGAATACAATTTAATGACCATAAACGACAAGTACTGTGTATTGACATTTTAAGTTTTCTTGTATACAATATTTAATCATAATTCATTTGAAATGAGAAACAGGTATTTTAAGTGCTTCATGTTTTTATTCAGAAATACGAAACCAAGGAAATTGGCATTGTGCATTTAAGTCGAAATTGATTTTTCGTTGAAAATAAATGGCTCTGTGTCAGAGACAGGGACATATGTAGTCTTTAAATCACCACTGATCCCAGAAGCCAGCTGGCCCATGAGGCCATTCTAAATTTAGTCCTTTATCTCATACGTGTAAAACTAGACTATCCCTGCCCTCCATAGGCGATACTCGGCCTTTTACTAGTATTCCTTAGAGAGTTTACAGAAGACTGAAAGGAAAATGGGCTAAGGTAGAGCAGGAAGAGCGAAAGAGAATGGGAATGTAAGCTAAACTGAAGAATGCGAAGTTGAATAAATGAGAGAAGCCATGTGCAACAGAGCAAAGGGGTTGCTGGGAGACAAAAGCAACGAAACAAGAGAAATAGTGAGGAGGTGGTGAAAGAGAAGCAACAGGTGGATGGGGGGAAAAGAGGCATGGACAGAAAAAAAGGAGGAAGTATTGATAATTAACCTTTAGTAAGTGTGAATTGTCAGTTTAATGAAATAATTTAAAAATCTTTTTTTTTATATCTATAGACAGTTACTCCAAGGCATCCCAAATAAAGTGTTCTTTTTAAACTAGTGCATTAACTCTCATTTAGCATTAAACAAAGAGGTTCACTTTTTTTTAATTTTTAGCTTGAAGAGCCTAGCTTGTTAAAATCGGGTCATGTCCTTAAAGTAACTGATGTCTTTTTTCTACCAGTAGTTTGTCTTTTCGACTTACAGGGTCTTATGAAGTCATCTACGGTTGACATTTAGACACATTAGCATGCAGTACTCAAGAATTCATTTGCAAACATTCACACACACATGCAAACAAACTCTGAAGCAATGCATGTAGTCATCTAACAGAATTAACTTGTGATTATTTACGTCACTTTCCTGTGGTTTAGTTGAAACTGACAGCTAAACTGTTCTGGTGAAAGAGAGGCTATCTGGAAATGAAAACTGTAAGAGGTAGGGCAGGTAAAAAATTGAACCTTTGCAGTTTTCTGTGCTTGACCCCAGATATCACCTTGTGAGGTGCCTTTAGTTAATTATATATTTAAGAGTGCATGGCTGGGTTTTCTGGATGCAGCGCAAGCTACGATGTCGGATTCACAAACAATTGACTCTTATGTACTGGTCCGTTAAAAAGATTCACGAAACGGTGTCTAAATTCATTGTCAGTTAGTGGTTTGAATTGGACTTTTACCTGTGGTTGAGTTGACAACCGGCTCCCTCACTAATTATTTTTCAGTTCTGGGAATTGTTTCAGTTCATTTTTCAGGCATGGTAATGGGTATGACAATGTTGTATGTTTGGTTTCGGCAGAATAAATCTGCTATGTTGCTTGTGTAGGTTGTCATTGTTGCTGCTGTTGTGGCAGAGCAAGTACGGGACTCGCTTCTGCCAGTACATACACGACACGCTGCTGTGAGCAAGTAAGACACGCTGCTGCTGTACAATATAGCGTAAATGAATTACCCGCAGCAGATCAATACAGGTGGAGCTTGGGTATGCTACCCAAGTATTTGAAGGTTGAGCAGCGAGCTCATTGGCTACTGATACGGCAGGAACCAATCAGCTGCACCCTGTAGATAACTATGTGATTATGAACGGGTAAAAGAAACCTATTAGCCTGCACCATCGTGGGTTTGTGCGTCCTCGTTTCCTTTCCTCGCGTCTCAGATCCACCGCCTGTAGGATGTGAGGGAAGGCTGCAAGGAAAGAAAAGGAGGAGAGGACGAAGGAAGCGAATGAAAGCTTTTTTTATACATTGAAATACTTGATCACTCGAGCGTCACTTCACAGCATCATCAGCAGCGCTCAAAGGATCTGCCCTTATGTTGTTGAAGTTTGGTTATTTAAGAAATTAGTAGTAAATAATAAAAAGATACTGCAAAGGGAAAGTATAAATTCAAATTATTGTGACCGACGTGAAGGGGGAGGAGAATTTATACATGCGTCACATTTCCGCAAAGGATACGTCCTTGTATCCTCACTCCTCATGATGCCTCCTCACCCCTCGATCCTCGATTCCTCGCGGTGCAATTAGAGAATTGAGATGTCCTTCAAGATGGCTGAGCTCGATCGTTTTCCTGGTCTTAGCATGGAGGACGGAGGAGACGAGGAGGGATATTGAGAAGCGCCCCTAGAATTTCTTGCCAGGACTTTGTATTTCTGTCCGATTCTAAATGAACCGGTTTACCATTTCTTGGGATTAATGATACATATTCAGAAGGTTGTTTTTGCAATACATTTTCTTTTTTCCAATTGTAAACAATTCAACAAAACATATTTCACTATAAATATTATCGGTCATTGTTACTATCCCATTTTAAAACAACTGTTTTCTATTTGAATATATTTTAAATCTAATGTATTCCTATAATGGCAAAGCTGAATTTTAATGCAGCAATTACTCCAGTCTTCAGTGTCGCATGATCCTTCAGAAATATTTTTGTTTCTGATTCTTTGATGAATCGAAAGTTCAAAAGCATTTATTTGAAATTGAAATCTTTTGTAACAACTGTACTGTCACTTTTGATCAATTATTATCAGAATGAATGTACCCTTGTTGAATAAAAGCAAAACAAAAATGACTGAATCCAAACGTTTGAATGGTCGAATATATGGCACAAATACAGTCAGTATCACTACAATGACTGCCTCAAATGGGAAGTAAAACATATTTATTGTTAAGTGTGTTTTTTCAAAAAAAAAAAATAAATGTATTAGGTCTGTAGCCCTGTGAGTAGTTCTTAACTTAATTTTTTTTGTCTTTGCTGCTCAGGTGGTGAGATTTGGCACCATGCAGGGACCTCGGAGGAAGGTGAAGGTCATGTTTATGATGACTATGGTGTTTATCTTCATAGTGGTGGAGGTCTCCCGTAATGCTGGGAAGGGCAGTCGCAACAAAAATAAAAATCTGGTTCCCTTGAAGCGTTTTTGGGCAAAAGATCTTCCGAATAACGCCTACTGGAATCGCCAGCAGCAACAGCTGAACTACATCAACAACCCCAACCTAGAAAAACTCAACTTCACGATTGATAAACTTCCAGACTGGCTAAACGACACGGTCAGTCTTGATTCCTGTGACCCAGACTTCAGGGTGACCACCCAAGTCAAGGATTTCAACTCCTTACCGGACCGCTTCAAGGACTTCCTGCTTTATATGCGATGCAGGTCCTATCCCATCGTGGTGGACCAGCCAAACATATGCAAAGACCAACCATTCCTCCTCCTAGCTATTAAATCTTTAGTCCCGCACTTTGATCGACGTCAAGCTATTCGCGAGTCGTGGGGCAAAGCTGGCCGCCTTGCAAACAGAACGGTCGTCACGGTGTTTCTTCTTGGAAACGCAGCCATGGAAGACTATTTCCCTGATCTCTCAGATATGCTCCACCATGAGAGCTCAATGCATCGAGATATCCTTCAGTGGGACTTTAGGGACACCTTCTTCAACCTCACTATCAAGGACGTGCTTTTCCTGGAATGGCTGAGCACCCGCTGTCCTGGAGCCAGTTACATTTTCAAGGGGGATGATGACGTTTTTGTTAACACCATCCGCATTATAGACTTCCTAAGCAGTCTTTCTCAAGCCAAAGCCAAAGAACTGTTTGTAGGGGATGTGATTACTAATGCTGGTCCACACAGAGACAAAAAGGTCAAGTATTTTATCCCAGAGAGCGTGTTCGTTGGAGCGTACCCTGCGTATGCAGGCGGGGGCGGTTATTTGTTCTCGGGACAGCTGATCCAGAAACTTCATAACGTCTCGAGGTCTGTGCCCCTCTACCCTATTGATGATGTCTACACGGGTATGTGCCTCAGGAAACTGGGTCTTGCACCTGAGAAGCACAAAGGCTTCAGGACCTTTGATATCGAGGAGAAATATCGCGATAATGCCTGTGCCTATAAAAGCCTGATGCTGGTCCATCCCAGAAGTCCTCAATATATGATCAAAATCTGGGCCTGGCTGAATGACCCAGCCTTGAACTGTCACTGAACTACTGCTCTAGGGTTTGGCTGCTTTAAAGGGACAGTTCACCCTATGATTATAATTCTATCATCATTTACTCACTTCCATGATGTTCCAAACCTGTAAGACTGACTTAATTTCTTTTTATGGACCAAAAAGCGGATTGTTTTTCAGTGAAAGTCAATGGGATCAAAAAACTTTCAGAATATCTTCTTTTGTCTTCTGCAGAATAAAGACAGAGTTTGGAACAACATGAGGGTGAGTAAATGATAGCAGAATTGTCATTTGGGGAATTATCCCTTTTAATGTTTTACCGTGTTGTTCTATTTTGATTTATTATTAGCATCTTTTCGTGTAAATAATCTGGAGCAATGATGAGCTCTTTAAATTTCAAATGTGCTATCCAGTTCTAAAGTGGCTCTGAATTGCTACCTATACAGTATTTCAATGGCTTGACTTTGTGTCATATTCTGTTAATTATGTTACAAGTATTTATACACTGCCTTCTGGTTGTGAGGTCAGAGGTGCTGAGGATTGTGGGAAATGTAGTTCAGCTGGTCTGAACATGACCACAGAATACACCGCTCACCAGAGCACAAATATCTGTTAGTCATTTTAATACGATTTTTTTTTGCCGATGGGAGAATTGTTGTATCGTGTAAAATTGAACTGACATGTTTAAAGATCATACCTTTTAACAAACATTTTTTAAAGTTTCTATGTGGCCGTCACAAGCATAATCTCACTGTCCATACTTGCCGCTTTATTCAAACAGCCTGATAATTGAAACGTGTGCTTGTGTGTGTTTAGATTTATGAAAAGTTGGCTCATTTTTAGAGCACTGGGTGTGGGGGACAACAGTTTCAGATCTTAATTGAATATAGGTTGTCTACTCAAACCTCTACATATGTGCTTTTGACTCTACTGCACTGCTGTCTCTCTTTCTTCTAAACTGATTCTCATGCAGAAACAGACAATCAATTGCTAGTCTCAATCATAATTTTGTATAAAAAACCAAACCTGACCATTTCATCAAAGAAATGTGTAACATTTTTTCACTCCTCTGCTGGAAAAAGCAGACTAAAAGCCTCTTTCCCTCTTTGATCTGATTCGAAGACTTCTCAGGGTGTTTTGGTCAACAAATCATTTGAAATCAAGGCATCTCACATTTTACCTCTTTGACTAAATGAATGAAACTTTGCAGCCAATTTTCCAGCCCCAGATTAAGCCTGTTGCTGTTGTTCATGCTGTTTTTGTATTTTCCTTGCCATGAAGAGGCCAGGAAATGGTCTCAGCTGGATGACTTAATTATAGTACTGAATTTGATGCAGCAGCCCCCAACTCTTTTACAGTGACACCTGCTGGTCTGCACATGTATCTTTTTTTTTTATTTTATGAACACTGGACATTTTCCATAACCTGCTTTCATCTTGATATAATATTTAAATGCATGTGGCCTTCCAGTCAACTAGTTCACTTATTTTCTGTTTTTTTTTTTTTTTTAAGAGGCATAAGCATTGTAATCTGTGCTGACTTGTCCGTTTTTTTTTTTTTTTTTTTTTTTTTGACTTGTCCGGTCTATAAGCCTGTAAGTCTTCAGTCGGCCTCATTGGTTGTTTGCTGAGGACTTAAATCAATTTTGTGTCATATTTGTCTCGTTTAATATTAAGTTGACCAACCAGCTATGAGGAACGAGGGCCAGAGGATATGTGTTTTGTTGTCTCTCTCTGCTGTTAGCAAGGCAAGCACACAGTTGAACAGCCTGATCTTGTGTTTGGTGAGAAAACAAAAGTGTTTACATGTGTTTATGAACAGTACAAAAAGCTTGTATTTACTATTTTATTGGTCGCAGAGGTAGATTATACAAGTTTTATACACTGGTATTTACTGTACTCTTGTGAGTTCTCAAACTCCACAGGCTGTTGTCGTATGATTGATGTTTTTTTGTATCAGTGCAACTTTGCAGAATGAACTCTTGTTCTTGCCTTATGCTATTTGTGTACCAGAAGATCTTTTGGTTTATTTTGGCAATGCCTTAATGATGATTTGGTCTTTATGTAAATAGATATTTGGATGTTGAAATGAAAATATGTTGGGTAAAATGTGGCTTTAGTGTTGTATGTGTATTTATGCAAATTTAATGTAGGTTTTTGTATATACAGGCTCAGGAGTATGATCATGATAAAGTCATTAGTTTTTTTTTTTTTTTAATCAATTCCGTTTGTAATTTTGGATTTGTTCATTTATTCAGTCATGTCTATGCGAAATTTTCCGAAACTGTAATGGCTTTCAGGTATTTCACATCACCTTTTTTCATTCAAACTTCTTTTTTGCCATATATTTATATGCTGATTATTTTCTATTTTTATTTATATGTTTGTATATCACTATGCCACTTACCAAAAACACATTGTCAACCATGCAAATATTGCTACCAAAATGTGCCTGTTAATAATTCTGATCAATAATGTGTCTGACAGTCTGTTGTAATTGAATATGCACATTTGTGTTTGTCACGTCTCTGTCTACTTTTTTTGATTCAAACTTTATAATAAATGGAATAAATGGATGTTTTGTGTACTGCTGTCATTCTGTCCATTCCTGAGGGCTTCTTGCAGAGTACTTTGCTACTTTTACACCTGCTATTAAATGTGATCTTATTAAAATTTGATAAAAGACATGCATTCATTTTTTTCTTCTTTGTTACTTTGTGATGATGGATCATTGTGTGTGTTGCAGCATTTATGTTTTTTAAACCAGCAGAGGGCATCTTGGTACTTTGTGTGTCTTACAGCATCAGTGTGCCAGAGCTCTTATGCAGAGATATTTTTTTTGTCACAGTGCGGCACATTTTTTTTTAATGCTGAATGCCTCCCTCTCTTTGATTTACTAAGGTACTTTGTCATGATCGTTTCTGTGAAACTATCTTGTCCCAACGTGCAGTGTAATTTTTCCTCCAACACTCTGACATTTAATTATAGCAGAGCTCACAAATCATCTGTGGCTCTGCAAGCGATCTAGAGCTCAGCTAAACACAAAATTTTCATACCTAAATACACTAAATCTTATTCACACTTCCTGCTTTTGTCTCAGAACTTGTCATTTATTACCTGCTGAGATGTAAAATGCAGTTACTTGTACTTTCTTGTTGGTCTCTTGTATAGGAGGCTGTCTGTCAATTTTGTTTTAACTGAATAATTGAGAAATAACATGGCGTTTTATTTAATTATGTTTTATAGATGATTTTGTTAATTTATTTTAAATTTCAAAACTTATGGAGTCCATGAAAGCAAAAAAGACAATCCCTGTTATGTTTTTAATTGAAAATGACTATGCAACGCTGTTCAAAAGTTTGGGGTCATTATGATTTATGCATGAATGTCTCTTACACTCACCAAAGTTGTATTTATTTACTGAAATATAGCAACATTGTGGAATATTATAGTTTTAAATAATTTTTTTTTTAATGTAAATGTTTTAAAATGTAATTTATTCCTGTGATAGTCACATGTTGAAAACATCATCATTTGTGCTGCTTAATATATATATATATTTTGTTGATATTTTTTGTGATTAAACTGATTTGGTTTTCAGAATTTTTTGGATTAATAGAAAGTTTAAAGAACAGCATTTATCTGAACTAGAAATCTTCTGTAACAATGTAAAAGTCTCTGTCACTTTTAATCAATTTAATGTGTCCTTTCTAAATAAGTGTATTAATCTTAATCTAAATAATTCAAATCTTGATAACTTTAAACTTTTGTTGGTACTGTATTTAATATTTTATGTATACAAATATGAAAGTATGTTGTATTAAATAGACTGACGATGTGACAATTACATTTGTAAGTACAATTTTAGTCAGTACAAGTTCTTACAGAAAATTTGAATTACCATATTTCTCATTTGTCTTAAAAAAACATAAGTTTGTGGGTTTGGGTTTACATTTTGAAGCGTGTGTATCTTTTTTAAATGAGAAATTGCAGTGCAACACCCTCTCTTATCATCTTGTCCCTCAAGACATGGAACGGGAGGATGGGTGAGGAGTTGCTATTGAGACTTTCTCTCAAGGGATGAAGAGATGCTATTCTCTAGGATTAGAATCAGGAGTGGATGAGTGTGAATGTCTTAGTGAGAGGTTTTGAATGGTTTCAGAGAGTCTCAGAGAGCAGATGATGGTCTAATTAGATGTTTGTGTTTGCGTGAAATGCTGTTCAACTTTGATCAGGACAGCGGGGTAAGAAACAAACGGGAGTGTGTTTTACAATCATGTTTCCCATTGCCTCAGGAATGAGTGAAACTGTGTGTGCAAGGATATTGCGTTTGTGGATCTGAAAACAATAGCAGAAGAAGAACGATAAGGTGTCTGAGCATGTAAGGAGTATACATGAAGAGTTCAGATGCAAAAGCCTCTAAATGCCATTTGAAATGTTCTTCTTTAATGATGATTTTTATCAAAATTGTATATTTAAGTTCAGTAATTTCAGTTAAATAACAATTAATAGGTAATTATCATTGCCATTTAAGTGAAATCACTGAACTTAAATATACAGGCTTGATAAAAATGATCATTATAGAAGAAAATTTCAAATAGCACTTAGAGGCTTTTGCATCTGAACTCTTCACATGTCACCTTTACTTTCCCTATCCTCCAAATTTGCGGCCAAGTATGGATGCGAGAAAGCAGAAATGAGACACAAAAGAAACAGAAATCTAGTCGACAGAGAAGCATGTGGTGAATTCTGTTCAGCTTGGCTGTGGTGAATGCAGCTCTCTTATAGGCAGCCAGAACCATCTCCTCATGTTTTCCTTTTTCTCCCTGCTTCCAAATTGTCTTATTTTGAATTATGTCTCTATGAAGAGTCAGACAGTAGAGGACTCTAAAAGAAAAACAGGGTCTGTTTGATTTATGACTATATGTGCCCTGTTCCTCTGACAGGATTTGATGGAGAAGTCCTGCCATGCGCACTTGTTTTTTCATGCACAAGTGTTTTCCAAAAGTGTCCACCCCCTTCCATTTTTATTGGCATGCTGTGTGACAACTAATGTCTTTGGCACTCATTGAGCACATTGGAATTTAGAACCATTTTGTCTCTTCTGCTTGTGTGTGCAATGCAATAAATAGCAAATATCCAATTGTTCGCCAGTCTCACCGGTGGAAAATGCAGAATGTTGGACCTCACTGTAATAACTAAAATATCCTGTTGGAAACTCAAGGAACTTAAAAATGTAATTTAAGTGCCTCAAATGTCTTTCTCGTAGGGATACTGGTAGAGAATCTTTGCTGGAACTTATGGGATCCTTTAAAGGGATACAAATAAACAAACAAACAAACAAACAAACACCATATTTTCTACTGTGCTGCACATAGTGGTCCTCTTCTAGACGGAAGAAACAAATTTGTAGTTAAATGGCCCAACATATGAAGAAGGAAGTAATCACAGTGCTCATAAATAGGCTATGTGATATAGATCTGCAGCACTGAATGACTGAAAATAATTGTTTTAACTTCTGTCTTCCCACTTCCTTTAAGCAGATCCCAGATGCTTCTCTGCTCACCCCAGTGTTTAGACATGTAGTTGGAGATCTGAGGAGCAGACACAACTGTAGGAAAGAGGACGTAGTGTCAGCCTCGGGACCAGGATTAAAATGAGTTTGGCAGCTGTTCTGCATTCATCCACATAATAGCCTGAATATTATTGAAAGATGGTGAAAATGTCTGTCTGACAAAAGATTAAGTACCTGAGATGATGGTTCTGACATGTGTAACGAAGCGTGTGACATTTTATAATTGTCTGATGTGTCCTGATGTGTGTCTGTGACCTGATGTCATTTGAGTGATCAAATCAGCTTTACAGATGTTATAGATGGATACTCTACCCCCATCTCTCGTTATTGTTATTTTTCTTTGTAAACATATAATAGTTTATCAGAGAGCATTATTTCCGATATACAGATGGGATTGTGTGTGTGAATGGATGGAGACAGGATGCAGAGACTAAGGTGATGACAATAAATGGAAAAAGCAAGAGAGAGAGGACCTACATTCATCAAAGTGATCCATCTTTTTGTTTGTTCAGAGTAATAAAATAATCAGCCAATGATCTTCCTCTGACGCAGCAGTCCAGTGGAAAAAGAAGCCACAGAATAACAATCGGTCTGGTTGAGACAGATGGCATAAATGCAAGCCAATTCAAAGCGACACAAGCCTGAGTGGATTCAATTTCACCCCCATTTTTTAGAACGGGTGTAGAAATGCACTATTCAAAATTAATTTGTTGTAATTCAAGAATGCTTTGGAACTTATACTAAAGTTTGATCTTTGTTTTAAAGTAAACTCACAACAGATTATTGCTGAACTGGAAACACTTAAAAATGGAAAAGTGTGAAAAAGTTTAAATTTACAGTAAATATACTGTAAAAAATATACTGTAATATATATTTTTTATAAAATATATATTTTACAAAATATTTTTTACTATAAAATTACTATAAAATCATAGCCATATATCCAACAAAGTTGTGTTCCAAATTTGAAGTTGATATCACAAAAATTGAAGTTCCCATGAGATTTTTTTTCGGCGTAGTACTAAAAATAGCCACCGCATGACATACATTCCATTGTATTTAGTTGTATACATTCTACCTTAACATATTAATAAAATTCTGTCCAAATATCAATTCTGTCACAAAATTTGAAACCTTGAGACTTAGATCTTTCTGACAGTATGTGTTTTGTCAAGATTAGAAAAGGTTTTGATAATAAATTATGAAATATAATGATGCCCAAAAGTGGAGGAGTCTGATAAATTAATTTAAAATACCGTTTCTGGGGTAACGCAACATTCAATTTCAAAACAGTTTTCACAAGATGAATTCTGAGGTTGTAAGCTTTCAATTGATACCTAATTAATGATAACTATAAAATATGTGATGTCCGTATTTCATATTTAACCCAAAATTGGGTTAAAACAATCCAGCATTTTTTATAGTGTATCATTTTAAAGGTCTCAGGGTGACTGCATGGTAATAATGTCTCATTCCCAAAGAAGTAAATGAGGTAATAAAGTTCTCAAGAATATAGAAATATCTTGCACACAGAAGGATGTGTCTTTGAGTCAACACCTTCTGAGATTGTCTGAATGCTAATTTCCTCTGTTCTTAACAGATGGTCAAAACTTCTACCCTCAGTAAGTATGTTGGGGGAATCAAGTAACTTTCCATTGTAACCTGATGATTTAAATTTCAGGTAAGATCTGACTATATAAGGAAAAGCAATGGAGAGTTCAGGGCTTCTTTTTCTGTATCAGATCAGATATGCTGGGTCTTTGAGGCTCAGCATTCATGTATCTTAATTTCGGGTAAAGATCTTTGTTCTAGGAACATTTGATGGTTTGCATTGATTATCTTTCAATTGATTATGGAATTGTAATAATACATTTACCTGACATAATAAATTGTTATATTTGATTATTCTAACAGACTTTGACTTTATTTTCATTAGAGTCAAAAGGAATAGTCAAACATTAACGTGTATTTAATGATGCACAGATATCATTGTTAAACCTTTTTCATTTTATGGAGTCAGATGAAAAGAGTTAATACATAAGATTAAATGTTATGCATTTAATTAAAAATCACTTTGCCATGGGAAAGACGGAACACGCATCAGACCTTCGCCTCAAATCGAACGCGTCTTTGGATAGATTTTGTTGGCCTTACACAATCGTTAGCCTATTTTACAAAAAAGCCTTCTACAGGGCCATAACGTAAGATACAAGGTAATGGAGCCTTTTATATATTGTCGTGTTTCTTTGGAAATAAACAGTGGACAAATGGAGTCTTTAAAAGCCTCTGATTCGCTGTCAAAGTAGATGGGACGCAATGAAAACCCTGTAGTTGTTGTGGTTTCTCCTTTGGTCGCGCTCATGGAGGATCAAGTAAAAGAAGCAACACTCATTATTTTACTACTTCTTCCAGCGTGCGACGTGCGTGCAGTTGAGTTCTGTTGAAGACTATGCGTAGCTACACATATTTCACTTACTGTGTTGCTCTGATTGGTTGTTGGTCTATCCAACTGAGTGCCGTTTTTTTTTCCTGGTTCGGTAAAGACACACCTCACAATCAAAGACCTATGGAACAGTATCAGACTCACATTCTGACCAGAATATGAGTATGACGATGTCAGGTTACCAAAAAACAGCAATCAAATATCTATTTAGGAGTCATAGTTTGTCATAATTAGATTATGATTTAATAGTAATAAAGTTAGGCGTCCCATATACGGGACTGTGACAGTTAATACAAGAGTGTTCATTACTGTTTTACTATATTTGCTTCAATGAGGTTGTGCTGCAGCTTCTGATTTGAACACACACTCTTTTTGTCTGCAGTGATGGCAGTAAGTCACTCAAGCTTTCCATGTTGCCTGAATGGAAACTCAACAGCACTGGAAAATCTCTGTCCTTGGCAGTACCTTGAAGAAATGGTGTTAATGTTCAGCAACCACTTTCATACTGAATGTTTTTATTGCTTTATTTGTGAAGTCAGTCAGACAAAGACATGGTACCAGCAGCTTAGGGTTGTGCAATATGTAGATGGTCTATCTCTTGTGGTCAGTTTAGCCAGAACCAGTAACAACCAAACAAGTACAAATGTACCGTGAGACGAGAAGCTACTGGTACAGAAATTTTTAGTTGTGCTAAAAATAAAAAAATGACTAAATTTTACCACCATTTACAGGGGCATTTAACAATGGCTTAGCCCACATAGTTTAGTTTTACTGACTCGGGACAATAAACGCACACATGTTTGATGCAATAAACAGAGTTCTTTACGTTTGAAATCAGTTGAATGCAGTCAGTGTATTTGTGAAGTGATTTTGCTTTGTCATTTTTGGGACTTTAGCACTGAAATTGAAAATGGAATGCGGGAAGCATGTGGAGATAGAGAGACAGATTGATGGGAAAGTTTATAAATTTGCTTAAGGCGATGATCTTTCATCACGAGAGAGAATTAGTGTGTGGGTGGACGTGTAGCTGCTTTCTCCCCACTTACATATTCTTCATAGTTTAGTGTTGAGTCCCTCTCACACACACACACACACACACACACACACACACACACACGCACACGCACACGCACACGCACACACACACACACACACACACACACACACACACACACACACATATATATATATATCTTCACAAGTGCATAAACACTCTTTAGGATCTGTGTGAGACACTTGTCCTAGTTCAGACATGACAGAATAAGCTGAAGCCAGCCGAGTTTCCCCTGCTGTATAGGGACTCCATTTTATCCCTAAACAAACCAATTCTGAAGTTCCCTGCTTTTGGTCTCCCCTCAGCCACTCCGGCAGCTCCAGAGATCTTTATTATTTCACCTGCAAGCAATGAGAGTCGAACTACACACTGTATCAGTAGAGAAATCATTTTGCCCTCCTCCCCCTTTGGTCTCATATCACATGCTGGGTCTGCTGTGAAAGTCAGCTGCGAGACAAAAATTCTTGCTTCTATTTTCCCCTCTTGCTTCATTTTTTTTATTTATCTCCAACTAACTCTACTTGTACTAATTCATCTTTAGTTTTTTAAAAACTCCAACAGGCCAGAGTGGGCCAGAAATGCACAATTTTGTAAGATTATATGAAATATCCCTGAAAATTGAATGCTCTAACAGCCATATACATTGTTTTTGCTCTTGCAAAACTTAAAGCAACACTATCTAACATTATTTACCTTAAATTAAATAATGTTTACAAAATCTTATCACTGGTTCATTAAGTCGTAACAGGGTAAAGGCACTTCTGCCATAGCCTGACTGGGTCTCTGTATCACTTTTATTACAGAACTCCGGGGTTCGGGTAGTAACCCGAGCACAAAAAGAACTGCAAAAGTGTTACAACAGTCATTATTTTGTTTTTCTTTGTTTCTGATGACGCAATACATCCTTTCATGAAATCATGTAACATACTTTGTCGGACATTGTTCATTCTAAAGCCGGTGCTGGATAAACAACGAGCGTGCGTACGAGGGCAAGCTAAATTAGTTAGGACGGCGGTAATGGACAATTTCGTTTCCAACCAGTAGGGCGACCAAAGAGGAAAAGTTCCATGGTGTTGCTTTAAATTTATAACTTATATTCATAACTTTATTCTAGCTAATCATTTTTATTTAGCATAAGGTCATTCAATTTTGGAGCCAAACCCTCATTACAAACCCAATTTTTTTCCCAGAATTCCATTTTTCTGCACTTTATCATTGTGAACAGAGAAAATTCGCCAAAGCTCATCATGTGCTCTAATAATTTATTGATGCATATGTGTCTGTGTGCATTTTTTTTGTGTTGCTCATAGCAGATAACAGCATGCTCCGCCATCCTGATATGCCCAGATTGAACGCTCCAATGCAGAAGATAAATATGATATTAGACAGTCAGCAGAACAATTACAACCCTGTAGATGGAGGTAGCTTTACAAGGATCTGGCATTGACTCTATGCATGTTTTATAAGGCGTGAATGATGCAACACAGTGCATAAAGTCATTGTTAACACTTTAGTTTAGGGTCCAGTTCTCACTATTACTAGTTGCTAATACTAGGATATTGGCTGTTTTATTATTTAAATCACATATTAATGCCTTATTCTGCATGACCGATATTCTACATCTCTTAATCCCACTGTACCTAAACTTAACAACTACCTTACTAGCTAATAAGCAGTAATGAAAAGTTTACTGAGGCAAAGGTCATAGTTATAGATTAATAGTATATTATTTTTTAGTATTTATTGTCTTAATAATTCATTGTTGTCTTCATTGCGAAAAATTGGTTGTCACAACTGATCTGGAATATGATGACATTAATTTAGTAGTAATCTAGATTTTGCTAAATCATGCACTCCTGCAGCTTATAGTATTGTGAGCAGTTGCTTTCTCATGAGAGAGCAAAAAAAAGAAAAGAAAAAAGAAAAGATAAAGCTGCCATGTCTGCTTCGAATTACTAGTCCCATCTGTTCTCCATTATTTAGTGCTAGAGCACAAGAGTGAAAATATACCACAGAATCAGTTGAACTACAAGGAATCCCAACAAATCCCAAACACACTTGAATGTAATCTACACCAAGGACTAACACATGTTTGTGTGTCCCTCTCCAGAGGTGACCCAGCAGTATGAAGGCTCAGAGGTGTGGTGGTGGATCGGCCCTTTCAGGCCTCGCTGCCCCCGGGAGCCGCTGGAAACCCTTTGTCGGTCTCAAGAGGCCACTGTGTGATCTGAAGTGCCAAACAGCAGGAGGTGATGCCATACAGACAGAAAAACATCACAGATCAAATGAACCTATTACAGAATGTAATGTATTTTATATTGTGTGTTTACATATATATTGTCAAAGCATTATACACAAAACAAGTAGATATTTCAAGGCAGTATTGTACTGTTGTTTTGCCCCAATTGACGGGGGGTCCTTTGAATCGTCACCACCTTTCGCCCCGCTATAGCAGTGGCCCCGCATAGCACAAAAAACGTTTTTTTGGGGGGGTTTTTATGTTCGTCTCATATTTTTTCCCATCACAATGTTCCTTTAGGGGTTCCGTATTTTTTGGGTTTTTGCATATAAAGTCAAACTTCATATGCATATTTACTGTTAAGCAATCTTCTATAACCTAAAATATCATAGATTTAACATTAATTCTGTATTACCACTAGACAATTTATCCTTTTATCTAGATACCTTGTGCTTTTTCACAATCTTATTTACTTATGTTGAGGTTACACTTCCTTGTGTTTATTTTCAGAGGACATTCAGCTGCAGTTACAGAATCTTCTATCACACACACACACACACACACACACACACACACACACACAAATTAACAATGATAGATACTTGAGTAACTAAACACCACTTCATTTTTTGAAAACTGATTTCCACATAATGAGGTGCATGAGGTTCAAAAGAAACTGCATAAAGCATTTAATTTGCCATAATGAGGCACATTAATGTTCAATAGTTTCTTCTGTGATGTCATTGTCTCTTTCTGCAGTCTAAGACTCCAAAGCTTCCATTGTGTGTGACATCACTGTTCTCTTCTGTCTTTGTCTTCATCCACTGCTGTGCCCGTGTGTCCATGACCGTGCCCGTGCAAGAGGGAGTGATTCACTTACGGTAAGCGTGCTTATCTCACTGCCAGCGAACACACTCACATTACCACAGGGACACACACAGGAAGAGAGAAAGTAAAGTCTATACACAGACAAACTGCAGACTCACACCACATCAAAACTGGCATTAGGAAGATTTCAGTAAATTGTGGGAAAAAAATGTTGTTGTTTTTTGCAGTGACGTTATTTATTTTACTTTTTAATAAAAAAGGTATTTTTTATATATATGTAATATCTTTATGATGGTGTTGGCAGCCCCTGAGCTTTCAGAGTGGCTAACACATGTCCTGAAATGTTGGCAGCCCATAAAAAGCGGGATCGGATCTAAACTTCTTGAGTCTCCGTCTGACACATGGCAAAGGTGTCTGATTAGCTGTCTTTCCAAGAGCTCTTGGCACTGTGACACTGCAGTCAGGATGTTTCAACTCTCTGTAGACACTGTGACTTATTCTGTGTAGAGATCACACCCACCAGTCTGCCCCATGTGCCCACATCCTTACATCTTCTCTGTACATTCTGAGAACTGGCAGAACAAACATCAACCAGCACAAAGTAACATTTTAAAAAAGTAACAAGCAAAAAGACACATTTTGTAAATGGTAAATCTGGTTGAAAGTGTCCTTTTTGTTTCTCTTCAGAGTCAGACTTCAAGTAATGGCCAGAAAGACAAAAACATGTATAGGCCCACTGTTATGAACTGTTTGCCAGCTCTCTCACTTCATTTTTTCAATTTTTTAAAAAATATCAAGGCACATTACAGGCACAACAGATTTAATTTACTTTTTATAGTTTTAGAAATAAATCTATTATTATGTTACAAACTAAAATTGCATAAACTAGGCCTATATGTAATATATAATACAATAAATCAATCTCTCTGTCACAAATATGTTTTGTTTTAACTTATTAATAATCTAGATATAATAAATAAATAATAAGTAAATAAATAGTTAACTTTATTCCTAAGGAGAAGGTTTACATTACTTATGTTCCTACTCAGCTCACTTTGCACAAAGGCGGTTAAAGATCTCTGAAAGATGTCTAAATCGACCAATAGGAGCGCTCACTGGCAAAAAAAGCTTTAAGAAGTGTCATGAATATGTAAATATTTATGGACCATCAGCCAATGAGAGACGCGTGGGGGCGTTTCTCGGAGACTCCGCACAGATGTTTGACTGAATGTGGGATTGGGGAGGAAAATGATGGAGTCTTGATGCGTTGAGTTTGTGTGTGAATACGCAAACAGCGCTGGAATTTCCTCCTCTCGACCGAAAAACCACCACTGTCCCTCGCTTTCAAACTCCTCAGTTTGGCTGTTGCCGGTATACGTCCGAGTGGGAAAGGGATTTCTGTTTCGCTGCCGCTCTTTGCCCTGGGATAGCCTGCCTGGCTAAAGGTTAGCCTAGGCTGCTAGCGGTGCTCTATGGGAATATCCAGCCAGAGCGGCTCTTTTGCTCGCTAGCGGGCTGATGCAGCCACGCGCCTCCCGCCGCAACGGGCGCATTCAGCCGCTACCGCTGCTGCATTATTCACGGGGTGAGTACAGGAATGCGACCAGAAACAGGATGTTGATGAATAATATCATGATAAGGGTCTCTGTGACTGCAGAGGTTTCATTATTGATTGTTGTAATAATCTCTTAAGCTATATTGCTAGTCAGGTATTTATAACAACACTGTGACTTTAAAAGCGGATTTTTAACTAGTAACCTGAGAGCAATTTTTTAAGTGTGTGAATTCAGTTTGACAGCACTGACAATGTATCAGTTTGTATTCTTCTGTGAATGAGGGTGTGAGTTGTTTGAAGAAGCCTTCAGCAGCAGTCTTGTTTGATATACCTTCTCGTGAATGTTTGAACGGCAACAGTTGTGAACATAATTAAAATAAATGGTCCTGGAGTTCTTTATCCATTTCGAGCTCCTCATAAACCTTTAATTAAAAATATAATTTAATCTCAGCTATATTCATTAAAATTTGACAGTATGAATCAACAACAAAAAAACTACTTGCAAACAAAAACCGATTATCATCCTGCTGGATATTTAGGCAATAACACTGGGAACAAAATGCTGTTGCATTGAATATCAGCACAGCTGGCTGTGATTTGCTTGTTGACATTATTAGTGACTACATTCAAAATATACACAGTCTCAAGTGTCTTTTTGCTTTTGTAAAATTATATGATTCAAATATTAAGTAGGCAATTAATGTTTATTAAAACGTTATTTTATTAAGTTAACATTTTCCCATTCATTTTTACCCATAAGCATTAAAAAAGTTTTTGTTAAAGAGTTTTAAGGAACCAGCCAAACCAACTACAAGGTGAATGACAACATTACAAACTTTGATTTGAGGCAAAAAAGTAGACACAATTGGACAAAAAGACAAAGGTAAGAAGACTTCATCACTCTCAGTACTTTATGGATTGGACAGGCGTTAAAGAGTGCCTTTTTGTACAATTCGCTTGTTTTGATCCTGGATTGGTGGAGATTTTATCGCAGAATAGTGGGTAATGTAGTTTTTCACCAAGAATTCTGCTGTAAAACACAATGATTTTAAAAATAAGTTGCAGCCTGGTGGCTTACACTCTATGCTGTATTCTTCAGACAATTCAATTTGAGAACTGAAACTAACAATTTTATAAATGCAGTGCTTGCATTCTATCATGTTTTACTTTTGTGCTAAAAAAAAAAAAAAAAACAGTAATAACTTTTGATCTGTTAAAATTTCAGCAGTCTTCAGAAAAATTGTAACTGGGCCAGAAGATCTAATCTAGCTGGATTTTGCTGTTTTTTTGAAATTCGTTTGCAACTTGCACAGCTAAACAAAGTCAGACAAATCTCTTTATCTTTCCATATCATCGCTTTCCATTGCCTAGCACAGATAACTGATAAGGATTGTTCTTTTTTGCTGGTATGAATAAGTGTTTAAATTCAGGATGATTTTGTTAAAATGATCAGTAGAAACTGACAATGTTTGTGTTTAGATGCAGAAATTGGAAATCAAAGCTTGACGAGTAAATATCGAGTTAATATCATTTTTTTGCAACAACCTTTATCACTGAGATCTAACCACATTCCTCTTTGTCTCTGTAGGTTTATTGACACATGCAAACGAGGAATATTGGATTACCTTGCACCGCTTATGTTTGTTTTGATGGATTTACTGTACAGAATGAGCTCTGTGAGAGCTGCCAATCATCCTGGTGGATTTAACATGTCATGCCATCATGCAGATCTGCGGTCATCCACGTTAATGCTTTGATGGCAAGGGATCTACGTGTTTTTTTCTTTCCTCTACCTGATTTTAAACTCTGTAAACATCAATGAATGCACACAAGCAGATTTTGGACGGATACTTTTGAGAACTTTTTTCCAAGGAAAGGATTTGTGAGGGGGTGGCGTCAGAACGCGACAGTGTTTTAAACAAACTGTCAGCTCTTTAAAGAGGAAAAACCATGGCTTCGGTGTGGAAGAGACTGCAGCGTGTTGGGAAACATGCCTCCAAATTCCAGTTCGTCGCCTCCTACCAGGAACTCATGGTGGAATGCACAAAGAAATGGTGAGTTGTCACTGCTTGCATGTCTCGCGCGTGCCGCTACTCATTTCCAGCCCAGCTTGTGCGTATGTGTCTGGAATGCTGAGTTGGCCCGTGACGTATCTGACTAACGGCAATGATTTATCCATTCCCCCGGGCATTCCTGTGTGTAGGGAAAGGCAATGTACAACTGTACTTTTCCACATCGTTTTGTTTATTTTCTCTCCTCTCTGTTTAGGAATTGTGCACGATAGGTTGCAATGGAGCCTGACGTGTCCTCAAATTAGTGGATCCTGCAGATAGGATGTAACTCAAGTTGGACGAAGTGAGATGTTAATAATAACATATAGCATATGTTTAACAATTAAATAGGTGCAATATAAGACAGAATTCTGTATCTTTGTGTTTTACATTAGAGCCAGACCGATATATCGGCCGGCCGATATTATTTTCCATAATTTTCCATAATATCGGTATCGGCAGTTATAATGGCCGATAAATGAATATTAGGGGTGTAACGGTACATGTATTCGTATTGAACCGTTTCGGTTCGAGGCTTCCGGTTCGGTACGCATACAAACCGAACGATTGCTTGGACCATTTTTCTTGCCGGCAAAATTCGTGCTGACGCGGCCAACACAACGTTGCGCAACATCCAAATGGCAAGGGTAATGAAAGCAGAACGAAACTGCGCTCCTCGTTATGTGCTTCACGGATCGTTTATCAGTTCGGACCAGCAACATCTGTGCAGCGCGAGCCGATCTCGATCAAGCAACACTGTTACCACACCGCGAGAGATCCGGTAAAGAACACATTTGAATTCGCCACTGAGGTAATAACATCGCTGCGAGATCTAGTGAGATGCATTCACATTTCTCCGTTATTAACCGTAGATCTCTATTAGATCAAACAGCGCTGTCATGGAAACCAGGAGAAACATTGTGCCGTGAATGAACTAGTACTTTACGTCCACAGACCAGCAACATTCACCATGGATTTAATATAGTAACACTAACTGTAACCAGTTTGGCTGGAATGGTGAAATGCTTTCAAGTACTTCACACATCTTTTTCCAGCACTTCAAAATTCAAATATTATATAAATAAATATATATTTAAATGTTATTTTTAATGTGATGACCAAAACATTATTTGTTCATTCTTCAAAGATGACCCCTATTTATAAACCTGAAAGTTTCAAGATCTAGGAAAACTCACACTTATTGAAAAATATTTTTTCTTTAAACAAGTAGGAAATTTCTCTGGCATTTCTTTCTTTTTGCTGTATCGAAAACGTACCGAACCGTGACTTTAAAACCGAGGTACGTACCGAACCGTGATTTTTGTGTACAGTTACACCCCTAATGAATATTTAAAAAATAAAATAAAAATGGACGTAACACGCTTCAATCATCTCTCCTTGGCCTGTTATATTGAAAATGTATGTTTTACAATTTGCAGTATGATGTTATCTATTGCTAAATTATGGCTCATCATAGACTAGCTAACCACAAAGCAGGCTAATGCCACTATCATCAGTGGAAGACCGCTAACGTTAACATTAATGAGCTTGGAAACCACAATGAACTTTTTCTGCCTAAATAAAGTAATGATTACCGTATTTATAACTAGCATATCTCTAGTTACAGTCCCTGCATTGTAAAATGTAATTTATACTTGCGAGGGGTGAGCATTTAGAAATAGAGAAAAAGTATCAAACGTATCTTGTGCAGAAAAGTTAGCTTTTCTTTTACACGTGTGTGAAATCCAACAATTTTTAATAAAAAATAAATATCGGCCGATATATCGGAATATGGGACTTTAAAACCCAAAAATATTTGTATCGGTATCGGCCTTCAAAATCCTTTATCGGTCGGGCTCTATTTAACATATACACTTGGTTGTCCCTGCATTTAGCATGTTTAAATACAATGTTGTTGTTTTTTAGGTCCATTCTCACTTTTCTAGTTATTAAAAATTATTAAATGAATGGCAATTAAATAGTTTTACAGGTGTCTCAGGAATTGGAATTACATTACATTTTTACCATATATTTAAATTTGAGTCATTTTTGAGCAGTAATTTAATCAACTTATTATATTGACAGCACCTAATTTAATTTAGATCATGAGGGTCTCGTTGATTTTATTTTTATGCCTTTAAAGGTTTGGGGGAAAATTGTCTCCTCCTGTGAATGTCTTTTAAAGTCGGCATGAACTGAAAAAATTCACCATGTCTGTTTTTTTTTAAAATACGTATTATTGATATCTTCGGGATCTATTCAAATAATGTTCATTTAGAAAGAATGACTGACCCCATTTTTTTTATCAAAATATCATAACTTGACCTTGCGGTGAAACAGCAGACTCTGGTGACGTATGCCGGACTTCTCCAATCACTTAGTCCACCACACCAAACGATAGAACTCCCTGCCCTACTTATTTCATTAATCCATTTCACTTAAATATACATCATAATACCAAAGAAAATATCTGTGGGTATTTCCATTTTCATGCAACTTTAAACTTTAAATTTGCTCCTGGTTTTGAGTGTTTGGTTACATCCTTGCTGCATTGAATATGCTGCTCACAGTGGAATGCTTAAGGTCAGGTCGTGTAGTATTGCTGTATTAGGTGTCAATAACGCAGCAATTTTGCTAAATTTTCTTTGAGATTGATTATTGCCTTTGGTGTTTTCTTGCATATTTCCAAAAAGAGTCTTTACTTCTGCAGATATGGCGATTGGCAAAACATTCAGTGCTCCACAAGGGAAACATAATTCATATTTACTCAAGTCAAGTCTGAGGAGTTCAGGTGCAATAGGATTGTTTCTGGGCCCTGGAGGCATGTCTAATTAAGTGTTTTACCTTCGGGTTTGACGAACACACACCCTTGAGGTGTTTCAGATGTGAATGTGTCAGGTAGGTATGGTAGAAATGCACTAAGGACACTGTGTTGAGAGTGCCTTTTTGTGGAAAAACAATATTTTCCTTAATCAGGTTTTAAGACGAGAAAACATTGTACACTGTATGTGTGTTTAGTTTTGGATGCACAGACTGTTATCAACATGGTGATTTGTGGACCAATGTGGAGCCAGAGCAGCGCTGGCGCTGATGAAAAAGCATTATTCACTTACTGACAAGGAGCTCAAAGGCGTTTGTATCAGGGAGATGCTAGTGTGTGTGTGTGTGTGACGGCTACGTGATCTGTGCTTTTTGGTTCGTCTGTCCAGTGTGCCATTGTTCTGATGGAAAATTTTCCACATTTGGCCTCAAGTGGAAACGCTTTAAAAAATTCAAGTGAAACTTTTTTTCTCCACTTTTTATGTAGAAAAACCACAAGTATTTATTCTGGTATGCTGAGGAGAAGGAAAAATATGTTCATGAGAGGAATAAAAGGAAGTGTCAGTCAGCAGTTGAATGAGTAAAGAAATAATTTTAAAATGACTTATCGTTTTATAAGTTTTAACATTGCATAATATCTCCACTGGATAATTATACCACTTGGATAATGTGAGTGTAGGGTGTATAAAAATAAAACATTGATGGAATAGGCCTAGAAAATCTGCCATGGCAATTATGCTCTGAATGGCATGGCATGGCATGTGATTCTTTAGGCTGAAAGATTTCAATCATTGACCTAGCCAGTGTTGTGCATATGTTATTCGATTATTGACGTCCGGTGGTGTGATTTATCTGTAGCGAGCACAAGCGCTCTGCCGGACACATAAGTTAGTGCAGGAGCAGCGTCCAGTCAGGCCCCAGTCAACACCTTGGGCAGTGTTCCAGAAGCATGCTGCTAGGATACGGGACACGCCACGGCCTGCTTAGGTATCCCCGCCTGTTGATTCAATGCCTTCTAGAATGTTGGCCTTTGCCATTCTCTTGTCTCTTGGCAACATCAAATGTTTATGAGTTGAATGTTTCAGTGTCTTTGGTTTAAAGTGCTGTTGTGTAATCCTGCCGATTCCCATGCCTCTATAGCATGGCCACGGTGGTGTTTAATTACTGTGGAGAATTGCAGCAGTAATGTATAGAATCTTGTAGACTATTTTACCAGAGCTGTTTTTTTTTCTCTGGAGAATTGCTGTAGTTATTCAAAAATGGCAAGGGGAAACAACAAAAATATAATCTATATACTATTCAAAATTTGGGGACAGTAAGATTTTTTTCTTTTTTTATAGAATTAATACTTGTATTCATGTATTAAATTGATTGATCAAATGTAACCGTAAAACTATATATTTGTATATCTATATACTTGAACTATATATTTTGTATCATGGTTTCCACAGAAATATTAGGCAATATTAAGCAATCAAGCTATTTTTCTTGAGAACCAAATCAGAATATTCAAATGATTTCTGATGATAGATGACGTGACTCTGAAGACTGGAGTAGTGAAAATTCTATTGCCATCACAGGAATTAATTCTTGTAAAATATATATTGTGATTAGTTAATAGATTTTTTTTTAAATTTTCAATAGATAATATTTTTTAAATATTAAAATGTGTAATAAAATTTTTATTTAAAAAAATAAATACCTCCCCAAAAACCTTTGAAGTTTAGGCTATTTAAGTTAACTCAGGCTTCCTTGGGAGGACATACATTTTAATGCATAATCCATGTTTGTTTTGACCACCATTTTGTTTATTAATGATAATATATAGCTTCCTTTACACTTTAGGAATGGTGTTCCTTTGCAAGGGCTCTTTTGGTGTCCAGCATTGCAGGATTCTGTTGCTGCTTTAGTTTAGAGTATTGCCTGGGGCAGCCAGTTGCTTTTGCTTTCAGGCCTGGTGCCACAGGTCAGTCAGACTGGAATGAGGAAGGGAAATCCTTCAAAGTGCTGCAGCAGCCAAGCCTCAACTCAGACCTTTAAAATCCCAGCATGCTTCATGTGGGATTTCACTTAGTTTTAAGCCCAGCATTATGTATTTCAGTGCTGCCAAGGATCTCGTCTTTACTGGTGGTGTTTATATTTTAATTTGACCCATGGGCATAGTGACATTGAACTTAAAATGA